TGCCCCTTGAAGGGGTCCGGGGCCGGGAGGGGGGCATACGAGTTTCCCTGGTGTTGGCCAGAGTGGCCACCAGGGAAAGCTGGGGAGGGCTAGCCTCCCACTAGTTCAAATTAAGGGGCTACACAGCCCTTAATTCGAACTAGTAAGTTCGAACTAGGCTTAATCCTCGTAAAATGAGGTTTTCCTAGTTCGAACTAAGCGCTCTGCTAGTTCGATTTAAATTCGAACTAGTGGAGCGCTAGTGTAGCGCCTATGAAAGTTAGTTCGAACTAACGTCCATTAGTTCGAACTAACTTTGTAGTGTAGACATGCCCCAAAAGAACAAGAAAGAATTCAATTACAATTGAAAGTCTGAAAGTATAAAGCTCACAATTTTTTAACTTTATACCAATTTGGCCTGTGGAACTCTATGCCATAGTGTTCACTGGAGCACAGTGCGATTCCCAAATGGATTGGAGATTGCAGAGTCTGCCAGTAGCATCCCATTGAGTGCAGGCTGTCTGGCCCTGTCAATTAAAAGGCCTCATGTTCACTTGCTAATAAGTTTGATGGTTGTTAAACATTTGGAAAGAAGTTTCCTCTAAAGGATGGCTGCTACTCTGTGAATTGTTCCTGGAAAGTTTCAGATGTGAGAGCTCAGCCAGGTCATCCAATGCGACAGGAGAGAAGGTTTGTGGCCCATGTTGAAAAACTCTTAAAACTGTCCCCGTGAGGAGCCCCTTCCCCTCCTGGCTTTCCAAGAGATACAAATCTAGAAACAGACACCCTGTTAGGAGCACCACAGCAGCAGATGGTACCTGTGAATCCTGGGTTGGAAGTGTCTTCCCTGGGAATCTCTCCCACAAAGCCGCGCCCCTCACGTCTCTCACCGCACCATCTGCAGCACCGTCCCGTGCTAAGAGCCGACACGGGGACCGCACCATTTATAAGGCAGCTCTGAGCCTTCCCATTGGGCATCACTCGGCATCTAGGGATGAAGCGGCATCGGGATGTAAACAGACTGGAGACTAGGGACCCTCAGGACAGCGTCCCTGTTTCCATTTCTGTGTCTCTGGGCTCATTGTCCAAGTTTAGCACTAAACACTCATTACAGAATTTCCCAGCGGGAGATGAGAAGATTCAGAACCTCTGCTGAGTCACAAGGGAATTGGTTGCTCTGTGTATTTGTGCACATTTTAAAATGATAGGAATAATGCCTAGAGCTCCACAGGAGATCTCCTAACAGGGAAATACCCAGGAGGGCTGGGCAGACAGTAGAGACAGATCTGTAGACAGACAGCTGAGGGGAGACACAAACACTTTCCACAGTCACTCAGGGCTGTTCCTAAGGGGTCAGAAATCAATAGTTCTCATCTGTATTTATCATCACATGGTGCAGCACCTTTCACTGAAGGAGCTTCAAAGCAGTTGGCAAGGGAAAGTCACTTGGAACGTATTGACATTACACACTGGGCAAACTGAGGCAAAGAATGACTGACTTGGTTAAGGTCACACAGAGAATGACAAATTTACCTCAGGAGTCCTGACTCTCCTCCTTCTCGGTATCTCAGTGCATGACTGAAGAGAGATGGATGCGTGGATATGGTCACCACGGAGCCCTCTGGCCTGTGAAAGTCGGGCAAGGCCTGCTCATGGTCTGACAGGATTCCCGGGTGCTACCTGCGATGTGGTCACCACGGAGCCCTCTGGCCTGTGCTGACAGCCTGGCCTGGGAATGTCCCTCTCCTCTATCGGACGGGCCATTGGCGTTTCCACAGACAGCCGCTGCCTCAGCCTGCGCTGGGTCCTGTCTGACAGACACATTCAGACAAAAGGGCTCAGAAATCAAGCCCTGGATCGGGACCCTTCCACCATCCCTCTCCCCATCGCCGAGGGGCCAGGGGTGCGATCGCTCCCCTCTGGCAGGGCCGTCCCACAAGTGCCTCTCGGAGCCGGAGCCAGGGGCTGGGGCCTGGCTGCACAGGGGCCGCGTCAGCCATTTTGTCCTGGGCAACCTCTCCCAAGTGAGCAGTGAGGAGACATTGCAGCTCCCCCGCCATCCCCCGATTTCCTCCTCTGCCCCATCAGACACAAACCCCAGTGCTCTAGGGTGGGGTCTCCCTGACCAGCGATAGAGTGGTCTCCAGACTCTACTTCTCTGCTGAGGAGCCATTGGCATCCACTGCAGGGCAGGAGCTGATCTCACCCCCACCCCCATCCTGGGAAGCCATTGGAACTGCTATTGAGAGCCTCACACTGAGTGAAGGTTGTCAGTCACTGTCAATTATTAGGCCTCGTTTTCACTTGCTAATACTTTTGACAATTGTGAAGCATTTGCACTGAAATTTCATCCACAGGATGCCTGCTGCTGTGTAAATTGTTTTAGACGTGAGTGTTCAGCCAGCTCCTCTACTAGACACGAGGAGTAACGGTAGTTCGAATTAGAAAGCCTATTTCGAACTACCTACTCCGTGCCGCGTGTAGCCGCGAGCACGGAGTCCGAACTACCGGGGATTTAAAAATGGCGGCACTGGGCAAGATACAAATGAAGCCCGGGATATTTAAATCCCAGGCTTCATTTGCAACTTTGATTGACTACATTAACCACCCTAGTTCGAACTAGGGTGGTAGTATAGACATACCCTAAGGGAGTTACCAGACAACCACAGCCCATGGCCCATGGCCATGCAGAGCTACAGCCAGTCGGGGTCTTTGTCCTGCAACCAGGGCAAAGCAGCAGTTACGAGTCCAGGCCATTCCTCAGGGCAGGGCACCAACGAACCCCTGGCTCAGGCCTGTGTTCAGGGATGAGCAGCCCACAGACAGTTCTGGGACCCAGGCCCTCAGTCAGGGCGGGCAGTGAAGGGTCTATGGCCCGGGCCTGTTGCCAGGGGTGACCTGTGAACAGTTATTAGCAGCAAGGCCTTGGTCAGGGAAAGGTCTGTGGCTGAGGCCTCTAGTCAGGCCAAGTCTGACAATACAAGCCCCAGGCCTCAGGTGGTGAAGGGTTTATAGCTCAGGGCTGTCCTCGGGCCATGCAGGAAACCAACAGTAGGTAGCCCTTACCCTGTGCAAGGCAGCAATAACACCTGTGGCTCAGATGCTTACTCAGGGCAGAGCAGCAGGGGATTTGGGCATCCTAGTCCCAGTGGGTGGCCGACAATCACAGCCGCCTTGGCCTACAGATCGGGGACTGCTATGCAAGGGGCGGGGTGAGGGACTAGAAGAGTGTGGGCCCTGCCTGCTCCACTGTGCCCCAGAGAGAGGCCATAAGGGACTGCTGGCCCCTCACTAAATTCAGGGGAGGGGGGAATAGTTGATTCACTCCCAGAATCAAAAGGAAGGACAAGGGTCTTGGAGAAATCAGGACCCTGAGAGTGACACTCCCTAGGACCAATGGGAAGAGGCCAGTGCTCCAGGCCAGCCACCCTGACAAGTCAATGACGAGTCTGGGGAGAGTCCCATCCTCCGTGCTCCCTTGTGAGCAACTGACAGAGCTCCACTTGCATAGCTTATTTCGAGTTAAGCCCTGCATTGCACCTCCAATGTCCCACCTGCTTCTTCGCCGCACCCGCAAATCCCCACCTCTCTTCTGAGGGCCTCACATCTCAGGCTATGTCTAGACTAAATGCTTATATCGGAAAAAGCACAATTTGCATAGCTTTTTCTGATTGGTTTTTCGAAAGAGGCTTTTCCCAGGAGCGTAAGAAATACCCTGGATTTCCGGTCTAAAGGGTGGCTGCTGGTGTGGCGAAGAGACCCCTCATAGGGAGGTGGGGACGCCAGAGTCCTCCACAAACCCCATCCACCAGGAACATTTCTGCCTCCATACTCCTCAGAGTCCCAGACGCCATTCTGGGCACTAAGGACTCTGCTGCCAGCACATAGGGTCATGCCAAAGCAGGTTATTACACTGGGCTTCTGGTGGGGTTTTTTTAATTCTCATTTCATCCAGAAGCTAGATGTGTGTTTCTTATAATTGGTTTCCTACTACAGTGCATTGATAGATGCCATTGGTTTTGTTTACAGCTGTTAAGGCCTGGCTTTCAGTGGACACAATTCAGGTAACTTCTCTGTATCGGATTTATTAGGAGGAAAGTACGGACTGGAGCAGAACTACTGCTTCTTAAAAAATGTACCAGCTGTCAGCCCAGTAAGAAGCATTGTTGTCTCTCCCTTGGCCTCTGAGGATAGAACAAGAAGCAATGGGCTTAAACTGCAGCAAGAGAGGTGTAGGTTGGACATTAGGAAAAAGTTCCTAACTGTCAGGGTGGTTAAACACTGGAATAAATTGCCCAGGGAGGTTGTGGAATCTCCATCTCCGGAGATATTTAAGAGTAGGTTAGATAAATATCTATCAGGGATGGTCTAGACAGTATTTGGTCCTGCCATGAGGGCAGGGGACTGGACTCGATGACTCTCGAGGTTCTTCCAGTTCTAGTATTCTATGATTCTATGATTCCCCAGAAATGCATTTGTGGCTGGCCACAGGATATTTGAAAAAGACAACAACAAACAATCAAACCAGTGAGGCAGAGGTGGGTGCAAAGTTCAAATTTGATCATGAGAGGGTAGCAAGGGAACATACATCAGCAATGGGATGTCTGAGTGCAGACCCCTGTGTACCAGGCCCAGTACAATTATTAGAAATGAAAACCCACTGAAAGGCTGTGGGGGGAATCTCGTTCCCCTGGGGTACAGAGCCCCCAGAAGGGTCCAAGGCCGGAGGTCAAATCAGTGAGGCAGGGCTTTGGGGAAGTGTCAGAACAGAGGTGGAGACTTGAGGGATGCAGTGGAGAAGGAAGTGGGACCATGGGGGAAAAGATTGGGCAAGAGGCTTTTCTTTGAGGGAATAGGCAGGGAGGCACCCTTATGAATAAAGAGACGCAGCAGCCTGTCCCGTATCTGCTTGGTCCTCATCCCATAGATGATGGGGTCGAACATGGGGGACATCAAGGAGTACATGTGGTTGATGAGAGCATGGAAATGGTGAGGCCCATTCTGGTTATATCGAGATGTGAGGGAGAAGAAGAGACCTGGGATGTAAAACACTAAAATGGAACAGAGGTGGGAGCTACAGGTCCCGAATGTCTTGAGCTGGGCGTCCTTGGTAGGGATTCTGAAGATGGCCCTGAGGATATGGGTGTACGACACAGCAATGAACACCATATCCAGACACATCACACAGAAGAGCACAAAAAGGCCGTAATAACTACTGGCTCTAGTGTCACCACAGGCCAGCCCCACCACTGGCATGTGTGCGCTATAAGGCTGGGGGATAGAATCATAGAATCATAGAATAATAGGACTGGAAGGGACCTCGAGAGGTCATCGAGTCCAGCCCCCCGCCCTCAAGGCAGGACCAAGCTCCGTCTACACCATCCCTGACAGATGTCTATCTAACCTGTTCTTAAATATCTCCAGAGAGGGAGATTCCACCACCTCCCTTGGCAATTTATTCCAATATTTGACCACCCTGACAGTTAGGAATGTTTTCCTAATGTCCAATCTAAACCTCCCCTGCTGCACTTTAAGCCCATTACTCCATGTCCTGTCCTCAGAAACCAAGAGGAACAAATTTTCTCCTTCCTCCTTGTGACACCCTTTTAGATATTTGAAAACCACTATCATGTCCCCCCTTAATCTTCTTTTTTCCAAACTAAACAAGCCCAGTTCATGAAGCCTGGCTTCATAGGCTTCTCTAGACCTTTAATCATTCTTGTCGCTCTTCTCTGTACCCTTTCCAATTTCTCCACATCTTTCTTGAAATGTGGCGCCCAGAACTGGACACAGTACTCCAGCTGAGGCCTAACTAGCGCAGAGTAGAGCGGCAGAATGACTTCACGAGTTTTGCTTACAACACACCTGTTAATACAACCTAGAATCATATTTGCTTTTTTTGCAACAGCATCACACTGTTGACTCATATTCAACTTGTGGTCCACTATGACCCCTAGATCCCTTTCCGCCATGCTCCTTCCTAGACAGTCGCTTCCCATCTTGTATGTATGGAACTGATTGTTCCTTCCTAAGTGGAGCACTTTGCATTTCTCCTTATTAAACCTCATCCTGTTTACCTCCGACCATTTCTCTAACTTGCTAAGGTCATTTTGAATTATGTCCCTATCCTCCAAAGAAGTCGCAACCCCACCCAGTTTGGTATCATCTGCAAACTTAATAAGAGTACTCTCTATCCCAATATCTACATCATTGATGAAGATATTGAACAGTACGGGTCCCAAAACAGACCCTTGAGGAACTCCACTTGTTATCCCTTTCCAGCAGGATTTAGAACCGTTAACAACAACTCTCTGACTACGGTTATCCAGCCAATTATGCACCCACCTTATCGTGGCCCTATCTAAGTTATATTTGCCTAGTTTATCAATAAGAATATCATGCGAGACCGTATCAAATGCCTTACTAAAGTCTAGGTATATGACATCCACCGCTTCTCCCTTATCCACAAGGCTCGTTATCTTATCAAAGAAAGCTATCAGATTAGTTTGGCATGACTTGTTCTTCACAAACCCATGCTGGCTATTCCCTATCACTTTATTACCTTCCAAGTGTTTGCATATGATTTCCTTAATTACCTGCTCCATTATCTTCCCTGGGACAGACGTTAAACTGACCGGTCTATAATTTCCTGGGTTGTTCTTATTCCCCTTTTTATAGATGGGCACAATATTTGCCCTTTTCCAGTCTTCTGGAATCTCCCCTGTCTGCCATGATTTTTCAAAGATCATAGCTAAAGGCTCAGATACCTCCTCTATCAGCTCCTTGAGTATCCTGGGATGCATTTCATCAGGACCTGGTGACTTGCTGACATCTAACTTTCCTAAGTGATTTTTAACTTGTTCTTTGTGTATCCTATCTTCTAAACTTACCCTCTCTCTGCTTGTATTCACTACGTTAGGCACACCTCCAGACTTCTCGGTGAAGACCGAAACAAAGAAGTCATTGAGCATCTCCGCCATTTCCAAGTTCCCTGTTACTGCTTCTCCCTCCTCACTAAGCAGTGGGCCTACCCTGTCCTTGGTCTTCCTCTTGCTTTTAATGTCCTGCAGTATGACCACTGTGTTGCCAAGAGGATCATGGGCAGTGTGACCAAGCTACTGCGCAGCAACACAGCCAGGCAGACCTTGCCCACCACAGGGTTTCTCAGGATTGTGGAATGTCGCAGGGGATGGCAGATGGCCACGTAGCGATCCAACGCCATGGCCACGAAGATCCCAGACTCAATCACTAAAAAACAGTGAAAGAAAAAGAGCTGGGTGAAGCAGGCACTGAAATCAATCTCTCTGGAATTGAACCAGAAGATGCTCAGCATTTTGGGCAGGATGGACGTGGAGAGGACCAGGTCGGTGACAGACAGCATGCAGAGGAAATAGTACATGGGCACATGGAGGCTCGGCTCCTTCTTGATGACGAACATGACGGTGAAGTTCCCCAAGAGGGCTATGACGTACATGGTGCAGAAGGGGATGGAGATCCAGACATGGGCCATTTCCAGACCCGGAATGCCCAGCAGGATAAAGATGGAAGGGTTGGTGAAATTGGTGGTGTTGGACTCTGACATGCAATGAATTTGAATGGTTTGAACCGAGGAAGAAAAATGTCTCCTGTATGCACTGTAGGTTCTCCTGACTTCCTCTTCTGTACTCCAGGACTAGGATGATGGTCTCAGGACAAATGCCTGGAAGGAGACATAAAGTTCATATCAGACAACACATACACGATTGGTAAAGGCTGTTGTAGTTGGAACAGATTGGTCTGTTCACACACAGAAATGTAACATTTTCCGTATTTGGATTGATGAACAACTGGCCTTTCTAATGTGAATTCCATATTTGATGGAGCTCCATGCTCACTAATGTGCCGTGATCTGGGAAACTTTAATAGGCACCAGCAGGACAAATTGAGTTGGGGTCCTTGTTACCCATTGCTGTTCCTCAATGCACTGAAAGTCAGGATTGAGATTCTGTGCTGTCGGGAGTCCCCCATTCACGTGGAAGCTCAAAATTTGAGAGTGAGGAAACCCTGCAACCTTTGCCAAAACCTGTGCCAGAGGGAGCCATCCCAGTTAGAACAGACCTCGGTGAAAAGTCCTGGAGGTCTGCCTTTCAGCCTCTGTAATCTTATGCCTTGGCAATAGGTGTAGTAATCAGGATTGGCAGGTGTAGTGCCCTGACAGGTCTCCTGATCCATCACTGATGATAACCGTATGTCTGTTTGTATGTGCCTCAGAGCAGACTCTGAGAGAGCCCCCAAAGACCACAAAACCACACATGGATTGAAAGTGCCCCACCAGGTTTATTTGCAAAAAAAGTACAATAATAATTGGAAGTGGATTCTATTGCATACATATATCTATCCCCTGAAATATCCCCTCAGCTCAATCAGGGCCAAGAATGTGACATTGCTCCGTTGGCTTGAGAAAAACAACTCATCAGTTAGGGCCTCTTTAGTGTGTCAGTGAAGGGAGGAGAGTGGAACAATCTATTTCTTAAGAGGTGTTCTGTTACCACCCTTCTGGAATGTGTTCACAGGCTGGGCCTAGTGTCGCTTAGCTCTCAGTGTTTCTACAATACCAGCCCTATTCTTGCCAACATATGGGAGCGGGAAACAGCTTCTTGCTCACAGCTTCATTTTGCTTTATATTATCAAAGTATTGACAATGCTGTCTAGGCCGCAGGCCTTACACGAGGCCTTTGATACATGGGCTTATGTTTCAGGTCTTCAACTTACTACAATTGGGAGCTATGCATAGACCATGTCATATGCTCCCATAAGGTCGGGGATCAAGAGGGTGATACAACCCTCTCCCCATCCACTGCTGTCTCAATATTGAATGATAAAAAAAATCCTTTAGTGTCTTCAAGAGGATTTATCTAAAAAAACTGTGTGTCAATGGGGAAAGTGGTGCTTCACATACCCCTGAGAACTGGTCTGCTTGCTCCAAAGCTCCATATCTTTAGCTAGGCTCACATTAAATGTGGTGTGCACCGCACCATTAATGATAAGAGTTGGTAGGTTGCCCACATTCTTCACCAAGTATTGTGGATTCGAGGCTGTTCCTCCCATCTGTATATGTGGGAGGGCATTCCACCTCACTATAAGGAAAGGGGTCACCTATAGTTATAGATTTAAGCTCAGTGCATGGTTTTCAGTGTTAACGATTTCCACACAGACCAATTCCCCAGTTCTTCTCACTGACAGAGCACAATAAGATCAGGACAGGATTGAATGACCCTGTGACTGAGCCATTTTGTGAAGAGGGCCAAACACCATCTCCCCAGCGAGCTCTGCACAAGGCATGGTCTGTGAGCCAGAGCACTTAGGTGCCTTTGTGAAGTTAGGAGCCTTTGTGAACAAAGAAATGAAGCATCCGACCCCAGATCTGTTTAATCATCACACCATAGATGATGGGGTTTAGCGAGGGGGGCATCACGTAGTACATGATGGTAATAAGAGCTTGGACAGGGTGAGGCTTCTTCTCCTCAAATCGTCCCGAAAGGGAGAAGTAGAGACCTGGGATGTGAAACACTAAAATGGAACAGAGGTGGGAGATGCAAGTTCTGAAAGTTTTGAGCCGGGCGTCCGTTGTGGGGAGTCTGAAGATGGCCCTGAGGATGTGAATATAGGACACAACAATAAAAAACACATCCAGACCACTCAGACAGAATAGCACAAAGAGGCCGTAGTGACTACTGGCTCGGGTATCACCACACGCCAGACCTACCACCGGCATGTGCACGCAATATGGCCGGGGAACCATGTTAGTTCTACAGTATGACCACTGCCTTGTCAGGAGGACACAGGGCAATATGATCAAGGCACCTCGCAGCACCACGGCCAGGTCAAGTTTGGTCACCGTGGCACTTGTCAAGATGGTAGAATGTCGCAGGGGATGGCAGATGGCCACATAGCGATCCAAAGCCATGGCCACGAGGATCCCAGATTCTATTATTATGAAGCAGTGAATGAAGTACAGCTGCACAAGGCAGGCACTGAAATCGATCTCCCTTGAATTGAACCAGAATAAAAATGTTGAGTGGCAACCATAACTGGAAAATGTGAGCTCAAAATGTGAAAGAGGAGGGAAAAAGCAACCGTAGAAGATCTTGTGGATTGAAAATGCTTGGGTAACCTCTTGTACTTTAACCATAATGCAAATGAATTGTTGCATGTTTTTTATCTGTGGTATCTGTTCCCTAAAGTATCCTTCCTCTTTCTCTAATGCTCTACACAATGCATGATGCATATTCCTCATTTTAAAAGCAATTTCCAGATCCCTGGTCCAGAAATATTTCCTCTGAAATCTTTACAAGATTATCCAGTAGATAGAAAAATGTACACTTCTCTATATTAACTATGCTATTAACTGTAAATGTAAACTCTGCTAGTGAGAAGAGACAAAGCAGGCATGACTGGTTGCTGTTGTGATGGATGGGTCAGACTGGTCTCCTCTCACACTGAAATGTGCCATTTTCATTGTTCGGATAAATGATTGATGAACAGCTGGATTTTTAATATGAATTCCATATATGATGGAGCTCTGTGCTCAATAATGTTTCATGACCTTGGAAACTTTAGTAGGCACCAGCTGGAAAAAGTGTCTTGGGGCCCTTGTTACCAATTTCTGTTTCTTAGTGCCTTGAAAGTCAGGCTAGAGATCCTGTGCTGTATAGAGCCCCCCCCCCCCCCCCCCCATTCACCTGGTTGCTCCAAATATGAGAGTGGGAAATAACCACAAATCTTTTCCTATATCTGTGCCAGAGGGAACCATCCCAGTTATAATAGACAATGAAAAGCCCTGGGGGACATAGCCAGTAAATGCCTAGAAACCGTGCTCACTCAAAGAAATGGCCAAAGCCAGGACAATCTTGGGGTGCTTGGGACATGTGCTCAGATTTCATCCCATAGCCTCTGCAAAGGACACAGGTGATGTAAAGATAACTGTGATTTCTTTAAGAGTCAATGAGATAGTTAAAAGTGACAATGCCACAGTCATTGCTGATTAAAAACTTTTGGTGAAAACCCAGCTGAATGAAAAATGGAAGGAATAAATTGGGATGGAGGGAATAACATATAACCATGGCGGGAAAGGAAAAGAAGATATAATACAATTTGGAAGACATGAAAACAAATGAATGATGATGTAACTATCACAAACACATGGAATCATAGAATCATAGAACCATAGAGCTGGAAGAGACCTCAGAAGGTCACCAAGTCCAGACCCCTGCCATAGGCAGGACCAATCCCAACTAAATCAACCCGGCCAGGGATTTGTCAAGCCGAGACTTAAACACTGCTAGGGATGG